AAATTACTTGAGAATCGTATCATATCCCGGCACGATACGAAAAATTACTTGAGAATCGTATCGTATCTCGGCACGATACGATAAATTACTTGAGAATCGTATCGTATCCGGGCACGTTACGAATAAAGACTTTAGAATCGTACCTTGCTTATAAACAATTTTATTATTTTAAGCCAAAAGTTCTGAACGTTCAAATGAACAAAATATTTTTTTCAATTTATAAATTATAAAAACTTATAATGGAAATGTAAAATAAAATATATGAAATATTAAATTTTAAAAACATACTTAGAAAATATTTTAATATAATATATTATTTCATGAAACGACACGATTTTAATATTACAAATTGTTTCGTGCCTGGGCACGACACTTTTCACCTATTTACTAATCGTATCGTGCCTGGAAATGACACTTTTTACCTATTAACAAATCGTATCGTGCCCAGGCACGATACGTTTCTTTTATTACTAATCGTATCGTGCTTGGGCACGACACTTTTCACCTATGAACTAATCTTATCGTGTCTGGGCACAACACTATTCACCTATTTACTAATTGTATCGTGTGGGGGCACGATACGTTCCATCTATTACTAATCGTATAGTGTCTTGGACCAGAGCCGATACGATATTCATATAGCGTATAGTTTCGTGTAGGTGACAGTCCCTGACGGAAAGAGAACTTTCATTTTTAACGCGCGAATTTTTAAAAATGACACAGGACTATAAAATAATCAATAAAAAGCTCTTTTCACCCAAATAGCTTTATACTTTTATACGTAGAATTCTAATTTAAAATTAGTGACCCCTAAAACCCCCGAGTAGTGAGTTTCAAGCAAATATGATTAATTTTGAAAAAAAAGTCCGCCATATTGGATCCGCCATTTTGAATTTTAAAAATCTGACTTCAGATTTAGAATCAGCGATCCCGAAACTCCCGACTGGTAAGTTTCAAGCAAATATGATCACTTTTGAAAAAAAGTCCTCCATATTGGATCCGACATTTTGAATTTTGGAAATATGACTTCAGATTCGGAATCAGCGACCACAAGAACTCCTGAGTAACAAGTTTCAAGCAAATATGAGCAATTTTAAAAAAAAGTTTTTTTACTAATATTACATCTATTGATTATAATAAAAATAAAAATTGTAATATGTTATTTACCATTTTTATACACATTGTAGTAACGTTTGTGAACAAAACAAGCCAGCGTATTTGATGATTCGTTCATAAGTTATGTCATATTTTGTAGGTGGTACATGTGCACTGGAGGCGCGAAAGGATTAATATCTCGAAAATAAAAAAGGACATCTTAAAAAAGAGTCAAACAAATTTTTGATTTTCAAAAAAATGGTCCAATTTTGAATTTTTTAATAAAAATTCACTGTTTCAATTTTACAAAAAAATTTAACCCCTCTCCAGCTCCTACAGTTTGACGATCGGTCAATTTCTCGTTGAGTTATGATGTCATCAATTCTGAAAAATGTCGTTTCGAGAATAACGTGTTTAAAGTCCGTCTATAGGCAGGTGGAGCGGATTATAACTACAAGCGGTCGCTCTTCAGGGGCCGTCCATAAACTACGTTACCTATTTTAGGGAGGGAGGGGGTCAAAAGTCTAAACAAATAGATTTAACACAATGGTAACGAGGGGGGAGGGGGACTAAAAAGAATGAAAAATTGGTAACGTAGTTTATGGACGGCCCCATAGAACGCTGCCATTCAAAAACTGTTCAATATACGACTTTGCCGCTTTCACAGGATATTTTGAATGTATAAACTATCGAATAAGCCAAAAAATCGAATTTTTGAAAGTGTCACACTGGTAAAGCCTCTTAAAGTACTCACCCCTAGGGCTAAACTATGTGCAAGTTACAGCCCGATCTAATCAACTTTTTTTCAATTAATACGCTACAGGAATTTTACCCCATCTTTATTGAGTATACTTTAAAGAGAAATGAAATACTTTATAAATTTTATTTTTTTTAAATATCAGGTTTACAGGTATGTGATAGCCTTTTTGAGGAGAATCACTTCACGACCGGGAAGGTTTTTGCTAAAATTTTCATCTTAAGGGGTTACATGTGCCTGGAAGGCCAAAAATCGTATATATTTTATAATTTGATCGCTTGAACATCTTAAGGGGAGGGATCGGTGAAATTTCAACTCATCGAAATTAATGTTGTTAAAGGGTGTTAATTTTTTTCTGGTATTATTTTGGATCTAAAATTATTGTGAATTATCAAAATTAAAAAAAAAATTTTTTGACTAGGGTAAGTGTACTAATTACAGCGAGTGCACCAATTACGGCGCGTTCATAAAAAATAACTATTATTACTATTATGTTTAATATAACTGTTGCCAAATGATTAAAAAAAATTATTTCAATCTTTTTTTGATACAAATACTTATAAAGATGCACATTTAAACAATTATTAATTTAATTATTTGAGATCAAATTTTTTTTCGCGCCGCAATTGAAACATTTTTAAGATTTTCATTGGCTTCAATTTCGGCGGGCAAAGTATCTTCAAAATACACGTAATTTTGGTCACCGAAATTGATACACCGAAACTGATACAAACTCGCCGCAATAGAAAATTACGGTATTAGTTTTAATTTCTCATATTTGTTTAAATAATCGATTTTTATAGAGTTAAAATTTTTTTTTAATATCTTAATAACATAAGCTTTAAGTTTAATAAGTCTTAAATTGAGTTTATACAATAGAAATGTCGAATTTTCTATTTCAAAGGTGTTTTGACTCGAATCTCGCCGCAATTAGTGCATTTACCCTATTTTCAAAATTTAATTTTTTGAAAATATTAAAATTTTAATAAATCCATACAATTGATTTTTCAGAATCATGAAAAAAGCCTACCAAACATTACCGATAAAAAATAATAAAAATTGTAGAAGAAGTTAAATTTTTAAAGAATAATTGATCAAACTGAAACTAAACATAATTGGTTTAGTTTAGGCGTAACAATTTTTTTTACAAATGTTTTTAGATCCTGAAATCATATTTTACTATGAAAAATAAAAAAAAAGTTATTTTTAATAAATTTTGCATTTTTTTTTATTTTTTAAAAAATTGAATTTCTTTAAAATCCATACGATTGATTGTAATCAACGAAAAACAAAATCCTTCGTTCAAAAACTAGTCAATACTATCTAGAAGAAGTATGCCAAATTTGAGAAAGATCACTCCATTAGTTTTTAAGAAATCTTGACCACCGCGATTTTGGGAGGGGTCTTAAACAACCAGTTGTCATGAGCTCAATTTTTAATATTTCTTAACAACAATTTTACTAATTGTTCTTTCGATAGTGTAGATACTTTAAGGTGTTCAAGCGAACGAATAAAATAATTTATTAAACAAAAAACAATTTCTTTTCTTTTTTTACATCTCAACAGCTAGAGAAGTTAGGAATTTTTTTATCGATTTTTTCAAAAATGGTGATCATTTTAAAGAAGAACAGAGATTTTCCTATAAAAAACAGGCACTAAATTATTTATAACTCTAAAAATATGTAAATTAAAAAAATTCCGTGTCTTTCTTTAGATAATGTTATTAAGAAGGTACAGTTACATTTTTAGGTAAATTGGTTGAGATTTGTCATCAATGCCTGCGCCATATAATCAGTCAAATTTCAATGATTAGTTCTGAAAATTAGTTAAATGTTACCGATGGTTTTAACTTGTGTAAGGCGTTGATAATAGACGTGCGACACGCTACCCTGACACAAAAAACGTCATAAATTTACTTCTAATCGCTGGTCATAAAATTTGGAAATTAAGAATTTTTTTAAAATTACGAAAAAATTAAAATGTTCGCTGAATAATTTACAAAAAAGCCGCTTCGATTAAGCAAACACTTCTAGTTGAAGTCTTACCAAAATATTTGAAAAACACATGTTTATGGAAAACGCGTTTAGACATTAATGGTTGAATTAAACATGACTGTAGAAACTTACAACTTAATTGGTTAAACCAGTGGTACTATTCTCTTACTTGAGAACACCTTCACTAGATGTTCACTTTACTTCCACCACATTTTCAGTCGATTTCCACTTTACATTCACTTAATATTCACTTCACTTTCACATCACTTTTGCACGAAACCTACTCCACTTTAAAGTTCTTTCACACTATCGCTTTGACGTGAAAGTGAAAGTGAAAGTGAAAGTGAAAGTGAAAGTGAAAGTGAAAGTGAAAGTGAAAGTGAAAGTGAAAGTGAAAGTGAAAGTGAAAGTGAAAGTGAAAGTGAAAGTGAAAGTGAAAGTGAAGTAAAAGTGAAGTGAAAGTGAAGTCAAGTCAAGTTCGCACCCCAGGGTTTTTGATATCTAACATCGGCTTACAATTAGTATTCAGCGAACTTAAAAACCTCTGAGGAATGATTTGCAAGAAAATATTATGAATTTTAAGAAAATTTCCGCCATATTGGATCCGCTATTTTGAATTTTTAAAATATAACATCCGATTTGCAATCAGAGACCCCAAAAACCTCCGAGCAACATGTTTTAAGCGAATCCGGCTAATTTTTTAAATTTTCGTCCTCCATATTGGATTCGCCATTTTGAAATTTTGAAATCACATGTAAAAATCCTAATTTTTTTAGTATTATTGAAAAAAGTAAAAGGTAAATGTCATTTTTTGAAAATTCGGACAAAGTCATTTAAAAGAGCGACCCTAAAAACAGTTGAAAATGTATTACCAGAATTTTTCGTATCTTTTTTCTACTTTTAATACAAGCTTGAAATACAAGTTAAAATCAGCACAATTGGTCGTTAATAGGTTAGCAAAGAAGTCTCAGTTTTTTATACCTTTCTGTTAAATTATATTATAAAAACTTAACGCATTACGTCATGTCAATTAATCGAAGAATATTAATCATAAAACTATTTCTTTAATCACTGTTAAACTAATATAAATCATTGTATCATAAGCATTAATTTATTTATAATATAAGAAATAAATTTTGTATATTATCCTGTAGGATGAAGAAAAAAAAGATAGCAGAAAAATTGAGCCAAAAACCGAAGAATTGCCTAGTGAATTCGAGTGTTGCTTTTGTACAACGAAGGTATTTACTTCAATTTATTATTCTTTTTCTTTTTATTCTTAAGGAGACAGTGCACGTTCGAGTTTTTAAATCTCATTACTTTAATGCTTGTACCGTCGTGTAACTTTTTCCTGTAAAAACATATCTTGGACTTGCTAAAATTATGTAGATATGTTTTTTTTACCGTTTAATAGTTTACGTGTCGATGTTTTATTTTAAAACAGAACATTTCAAGGTTACCTGAAAAATAGCAAAATGTCCCACTTCCACAAAGTTGTCTTAAAAGATTACAGTTGAAAATTATAGTAAGTTTTCAATGAAATGTCTCTACAAGCTTGCAATGAAAGATTATTGTTGACAGTTTTCAATAAAAGATTTCATATATCTTGCAATTAGACTTGCTTTAAGTTGCAAAAAATGAACTATTTTACTAAAAAATGTTTATTTTTTTATTTTATTTAAAAAAATTTAAGTTCGTCTGTTCACTGCAAAAAGAAGTCTCTTATTTGAAGATGTTTTGGTAGCGTTTTTAAGACATTAAGATGTTTAAGATGTCTTGAAAACGCTAGAAAAACATCTTAAAATGCACTTTTTATTGCTTTAAAAACAGAATACCTAATTTCATGTTTCAAAAAGATCACACAAAGTGATAGTTCCAACGTGTTTGTTTGGTTTACTGTTACTATATAGGGGATAAATCTGCATAAATTTAAATAGTGGACAAGATTTTTTTATTGCAAGAAATTAATTTAAAAAATGTCAGAAGTACATAATTCTGATATTTCCGATAGTAACGAAAACAAAGTGACTAATTTTGAAGGTTTGATTCTATGGGTAGGATTTGCAGAATTTTTTACTTTTACTCTAAGGAAGAAAATAACTTTAAATTAATAAATACATGGACTATAATTATATTTTACATTTAAATTTAATTCCCACTTATTAAAAAAATTGAATTTCGATAATATAAATATTAAAATAACTTTTCAGTAACTTGAAAAGTAACTTAAGTTACTTTGTAAATAACTGTAACTGTAGCGAGTTTCTTTTTTATAAAAATAATTGTAACTGTAACTAGTTACTAAAAAAAGTAACTTACCCAACACTGGTTGACAGTACTGAAAGGTTGTAAACTTTTACTAGATGATTTTTCAAGTTATATTTTGTATAATTGTTATTTTTGTTTGGAAAATGAGTACTTAAATCAATTTATTAAATACATTTCTAAAGTATTTATTACTTAATGAACACTGTCTGAAATCACAAAAATATACAAAGAAATTTAACTCAAAAATAATATTTGCGAAATTTTATTAATAGTTACTCATAAAATTGATGGAACAAAAATTCCGTAAATTGTAAATATTTTTGGACATTTCATGAAATGCTACAGCCAAAAGACTGGGGTGAGAGGCATAACTCTCCTAGTTTTTCGCAATGTGGACCCAATGGGTTATTTGGCTTAAAATCATCGTACGATATAAATAAAGGAATAACAATATCATCTTTCTTATATTTTGCATGTTTTCGTTTCCATATTTTACATTGATTAAAGTTTTCTGCGCAGTCATTTTTTGTTTCTAAACTTTTCATATAAGCAACTGTATCATTAAAGAGGCATCAGGTAATTCGAAAAATTTACTAATTACTTTACCGAGAGAGATAAACTGACCTAAAACATATTTTAGGATCATTACGGGACCTTTTGACGTATGAATTTTTTAACTACAGATTGTATTATAAATGTTTCTGGTATTATACTAGAAGGAACTGAAGAGCTTTTTGAATGCAGTGGATAATTATGTTTTATATTTAAATGTTTTCTAAAATACCATTCTGTTCCAAAATTTCTTTTACAATTAGCTACCGAACAGACGTAGTTTAAACAATTTGGACCATTAATTTTAAAATATAAGGAAAGAAATTATATTCCTTGAACAGTTTTGTAACATTTAAATTTTATAAAATTTGAACTTTTCAATAACATCTTTTGTTGGAGAATCTATTATAGATTTATCTAAACTAGTCTCAAAATCATAAACAGGTCTTTGCAAAAATAGCAATTCTCTTTGACCTTCTTTAGGATATACTGTGTCTAGAGCTTGACAAATTTTGAAGGTAATGTCAAATGATTTTAAAGATGATTCTACTTGATATGTCAAGTTATTGATAGCAACGTAAAATTGTTGCAGTGCATCAGGTTCTCCAATAATTATTACTTGTAGATACAGTACCATTTCAAACTTTGCGTATTTCTCACGCCGTATTTGGAGCTTTAGAAGAATATCCGCAATAGTCTAGAGAAAGAACGAATAACCTAGTTGAATTGAAATTATCGTTACAAAAAATTTATAATTTTTTTTAAAACTTTATCCTTCTTAGAAATAAATTTAAAAATTAAAAACACATTGGCTACAAAAGATATTTTACCTAATTATAATTTTTGACTCAAATTTCATCTTCCCCTTTTTAAAAAAATTTCTTAACAAAATACAAATTTTTCACTATAAAATGTAAATTTTCTAGAATTGAATTATTAAAATGATGGTATATGGCTAGAATTCTTCGCAAAGAACGCATGACATGACATGACATTTTAGCATAAAAACAGTTCACATAAAAAGAAACTGTATAAAATTTTGAATAATTTGATAAAAAATGAACTCTGTAGTTCAAAAATTAACTGAGATATAGATATAGCTTCCGCAAAAAACTCATTTTTTTGATATTTTAGCCAAAATCCTGTATTTTTCAGTTTGAAAAACTAATATAAAATTTGAGAAAAACTAATATTTTGCACCTATTTCTTAAAAAAATTTTAGGTTCCGGTAAGAGTTTGAAGTATCATATTTAGGTACTTTATTTTTACCCCAAAATGAAGGGTTTAAGCAAAAAAATTGAGGTTCTGAGTTAAATCATGATATGCCTTGTTTTTCGACTAATTTGACTGGACTACTAGAAATCAATTAAAAGCAGTAAAAAAATGGTTGAAATTATTTAAATGCGAATGAAATTATTTGTATCTTTTTTTAAATAATAATCTTTTTTAAACAAAATTACTAAGTAAAATCACCATTCATCTTTCAGTCCAGCCCAGTGAGAACACTTGCTCACGGTGGTCAGGAAGGCGAAAAGAGTTTGTGTACGATAACGACGAAATTTGTGCATGTAGAGTAAAACTTTAGATGTCAAAAAAACAAAATCGCAAAAACTAAATCATAGCGATTCATGTCGATAATTATTTGCAATTTTGTCATTTTTTATGAGTAATTTTTCATTTATAGCATATTTAGTTCATTAGTTCATTAATGTGTTGATTCAAATCTGATTGCCCTATTGAAAAAAAACACGTATAATTGTACGTATAATAATACGTATAATTATACGTATTATTATACGTATAATTATACGTATAATTATACGCATAATTATACGTATTATTATACGTATAATTATACGTATTATTATATGTACAATTATACGTATAATAAGACATACGAATTTGAAACAAGAATTATACGTATAATTATACGTATTATTATACGTATAATTATACGTATAATTCTTGTTTCAAATTCGTATGTCTTATTATACGTATAATTATACGTATAATAATACGTATTATAATACGTATAATTGTACGTATAATTATGCGTATAATTATACGTATAATTATACGTATAATAATACGTATTATTATACGTACAATTATACGTGTTTTTTTTCAATAGGGTGGACCCTTTCTACTGCAAAACAAGAATGAATGATTTTATACATGGCTTTGAATGCTGCGATAAATGGTAATAGAGGCAATGGTCCCCCTATTATCTGTCATATTTCGTTATCTAGCAATTTATCGGATTCTTTGAGTGATTCTCGGTACGCGTTTCCTTCAAATATCTCTCCATCATAATTTTTTAAAACCAAATTTAAGCGTTGTGGCCATAATAATAATGAAGTAGCAGCTTAAAATCGCAGACAAATTACATGGAAATATAATTGATATTTATAAGATCAAATAATACTTTTAAATTTGCGTACGTTTCTTTAATTCCAGGTACAATACATAGCATTATTAGCTTCTGAACGATCGTGGATTTTTTAACTTTTCATTTTTTTGACGATGTTTTCTCTTGATCAATTTATTTTTATTGAAACATTTAGTATTTCACAAACAGCAAACTTTTTCTTCATATTTAACTGACCCTTATGTCTACCAATTATGCAGATAAAACAATTAAAAATAATTTCATTGTGTCTTGTTTGTTTTGGTAAACGTATATCTTCATAGTTCGGCATGTTTTCGAATGGTCTCTTCTTAATTTTTCAAACTTTTTGTCTATTCTCCTCATGACTACAACGGTTCCCAGTAACAATGCAAAGCACACCCTCTTTGCCTGCAGTAAATGGGACTTGGAGAGGCAAGCCATGTTCAATGGTGCAAACACTATAGTTACACCGGAGAACATCGATGGCTGGGCGTAAAAACATGATATCTCGAATTGACGGTGAAAAACATGATATCTCAGATTAGCGTTGGAAAACATGACATATCGTCGTTTGATTTGAAGAACATGACACGTCGATAACGAAATTTTTCTTTTCAAATTTCTGTTGGTACCACTGACCGCGAATTTTAAAATGGTTTGTTATATTACATTTTTTAAGAATATATGATGATATTAAAATTATAGAAGTAAAATCTTGCACTATACACATATAATTTTGAATATTTTACATGAAATTCGTTTTAAATCAACGGGATTACAATACTGTATTTAAATGGTCGTTTGTATTATTAATTACTTTTACAGCTGTATGAGGTAACGTCATGGGTGGAAATTCCTCCAGGAAATTAATAATTGGAGGGTTTACTAGAAAAAATTTACCTAAGTTAATTTAATTTATTTAATAATTGTGTTTTAAAAAATATACTTTACTTACTCTCCATGATTGACTCTTTATACAAATATTTAAACAACACCAATTGTAATAGAATATTTACAATATAAATATTTATA